GGCTATTTTTTGGTTACAGCCATAATTGTTGTTTGGTGGGCCCGGGCCAGCTCAGGTGTATGTGGCTGGCGCCTTAGCTGTTTGAGCCACAGGCACAGAGCCCATAAGCACAATATTATAAATAACAGGTATGTCCCTAGATTATTCCTGACTTTCTCAAAAGTAGTTTTTTAAAATCATATAATAATAATACAATATAATCCTTAAGTTTTTCTAACCCCCAAATTCACTTAAGTCTAACAGAATCAGCAATGAGAGAAGAGACAGGACTTTACCAAGAAGGTGGGTGGGGTCACTGAGATAAGATGGTACCAGTTACTTGTGTCTGGACATCTGGAAGTTTAGGATACAGTACACCCTTAAAATTAAAATTCTATATTGGTTATAACTTAAAAGCTCTGAGGGATTCCAGAAGGACTTAAGATGACTGATACTGGCCTCTCTGCCTACTTGCCTTGGCAATGGAGGCCATTTGCTCTCTTTGGTGAATACATCTTGCTTCATAAAACTTCTTACTCTGCAATTCTATCTCTTACTCAATAAACTTTGTTTATGCTTGCCATAAAAAAAGGAAGAAGTTCAGGTTCAGCATATTTGCCTTACAAAAAGAAAGAAGTCCAGGCACAGGGGTTCACACCTATAATCCTAGCACTATGGGAGTCTGAGGTAGGTAGATTGCCTAAGCTCAGAGGCTCAAGACCAGCCTGAGCAAGTACAAGACTCCATCTCTAAAAAACAGCCAGGAATTGTGGCAGGCACCTGTAGTCCCAGCTACTCAGGAGGCTGAGCCCAAGAGTTTGAGGTTGGCGACGCCCATAGCTCAGTGGGTAGGGTGTTGGCCATATACATCAAGGCTGGCGGGTTCAAAACCGGCCTGGGCCAGCTAATCAACAATGACAACTGCAACAACAAAATAGCCAGGCATTGTGGCGGGCACCTATAGTCCCAGCTACTTGGGAGGCTGAAGCAAGAGAATCCCTTAAGCCCAAGAGTTTGAGGCTGCTGGGAGCTATGATGCCACATTACTCTACCAAGGGCAACACTGCCTCAAAAAAAAAAAAAGAAGACTGATATTACTTCGAGCTATCACTTAAGTTTTGGCACAGTTATAACTCTTAAGTACTGATCAATGATCCTCATTAGCAGAAAAGTAAAAGAAAATACTTTTCAAGTTAGCAGTTATTCTTTCTACCTAGACTATTTGTGATATATGGAGCCACAAACTAATGCTATATCAAAGATGCATACAGATCATTATACTTGCTTGGGAAAAATGCTATCATTGAGCTTTCTATAGAATGTCTTCTAATGTTCTTCCCTTTTTCCTGCTATCATTTTCAGAAGAGAAACATAAAACATACTATGTCTGAGATTCTTGAGAAAAATCTTTTTTAATGAAAAAAAAAAAAGCTTACCTGAACTTGATGTAGTTCTTCTTGCTCTCAAAATGGGATAGCTACCTACTTCTAAAGACTTGGTTAAGTCCAGATCATGTAAAATTAAGAGATAGCCAGAGGATGTTGAAATCAACATTTTTGAACAATCTGGTGTTAATCTCATTCGCATGAGAAAACGCGTGTGGAAAAACTTCTTATGTGGACACCCATCTTCTGTACACCTATAGAAGAAACCAAAACATAAAACCAAGACTTAATTATAAATATAGTGGTTTAGTGACAGGTGTATTTTATTTGTGCTCTTGAAAATAGAATTTAGGGCTTGGCGCCTGTAGCACAGTGGTTACAGTGCCAGCCACATACACCAAGGGTGGTGAACCTATTCAGGTGGTTTGAACCTGGCCCCAGGCCAACTAAACAACTGCAACAAAAAAATAGCCAGGCGTTGTGGCAGGCACCTATAGTCCCAGCTACTTGGGAGGCTGAGGCAAGAGAATTGCTCAAGCCCAAGAGGTTGAGGTTGCTGTGAGCTATGACACTACCAGGGCAACATAGTGAGACTCTGTCTCGAAAAAAAAAAAAAAAAGAATAGAATTTAGGAGGATGAGGAAAGGTTGGTCAACAGGTAAAAAGTGACAATTAGGAAGAATAAGTTGAGAAGAGTGACTTTTGCATATCCTCACCATAAACAAATAATAAATGCATAAGGTGATGGTCATGCTAAACACCCTGATCTGATCATTATACAACATACATTTTTATACGCAACATCATATCTGATAAATATACACAATTACATGTCAATTAAAAAACATTTGAAACTTCAAAAAAAGAGACATCTTTCCAATAAAATTTACTTTTATGTTAGTAGTATTTAAAATAATACATGTTGTTTTGATCAACTGTAAACTAATAATATTGTAATGATAATTAAACCCAGAGGAAAAAAATCAAACATTTATTGGCCTGTGGTCACAGGAAATAATTTATTAATGTCAGTTTATATACACATTGTATTTTTGTTGCAGATAAGAATGACCAATAATGCATAAAATATAGCAGGATATAATTCTATGAGAAAAGTAGAATGAAAACATGAGTACTAAAAGAAAACGCTGTACAACTTCCAATAGTTACCGTAAAAAAATAGAATTTATATTCAATGTATATTTTAATTTACTTTATGTGGTTAACATTTTTTTTTTTTTTTTTTTTTTGCTCACCATTCCTTCTTTCATTGCCAATCTTTCTTTTTAGATCATTCTCTTCTTTTTTTTGTAGAGGTAAAAGTCTAACTCTGTTGAATCAGCTCAGTTCACAGCAACCTGAAACTCGTGGGCTGAAATGATTCTCCTGCCTAAACCCCAGGAGTAGCTGGGAATACAGACACCTGCCACAACACCTGGCTAATTTTTTTATTTTTAGTAGAGACGGAGCTTCACTCTTTCTCAGGCTGGTTTCAAACTCCTGAGATCAAGCGACACTCCTCAGAGGCCCAGAGTGCTAGGATTACAGGCATGAGCTACCATGCCTTGTCTCTTTCTTCTTACTGAATTTTTTTTTTGAGACAGAGTCTCACCTTGTCGCCCCTGGAAGAATGACCTGGTATCAGGTTATAGCAACCTGAAACTCTTGGGCTCAAGCACCCTCTTGCCTCAGTCTCCCAAATAGCTGGGACTACAACCACGGGCCACTACAGCCACTGGCTATTTTTAGAGATGGAGTCTCTTGCTCAGGCTATTCTGAAACTCCTGAGCTCAAGCAATCCACCTGCCTTAGCCTCCCAGAGTACTAGGATACAGATGTGAGACACCATGCCTAGCCCTTTCAGAATTTTGTCAAGTAAGACTTTGTTGAGGTAAACTCTCTCACTTTTTATTGTTCTGAAAAATCTTAATCTCACTCTTCTTTTTGAATAAAAGTTTAGCTGAGCATGTAACCTCAGTCAATAGTTATTTCTTTCTTAATATGGAGGATAATATCCCACTGAGTTGTAGCTTCTTTTGTTATTACTTGTAAGTCTGCTATTAGCCTGGTACTTGGATAAGTTGTTTTAAGAGATAAGGACTCGCTGTTACCCAGGCTGGAGTGCAGACGCACAATTATAGCTCTCTGCAGCAGTAAACACCTGTGCTCAAGTGATTGTCCTGCTTCATTTTCCTTAGTAGCTGGGACTACAGGTGGGCGTATCACCATACTCTTTTTCTTTGAAATACTGCAGATTCACAAATAATGCATATATATGTAAATATGGATTCCTTTTGATTTATCTTTATTGGGATTAATTTTATTTTCCAAAACTTTAGATTCATATAATCTAGAAAATTCTATAATTATTCCAATATTGCCTTTTATCCATTTATTTTCTGTTCTTTTTTTTTTTTTTTTTTTTGAGACAGAGCCTCAAGCTGTCCCCCTGGGTAGAGTGCCATGGCATTACAGCTCACAGCAACCTCCAAGTCCTGGGCTCAAGCGAGTCTCCTGCCTCCACCTCCCAAGTAGCTGGGACCACAGGCGCCCGCCACAACGCCCGGCTATTTTTTGGTTGCAGCCGTCATTGTTGTTTGGCGGGTCCGGGCTGGGGATTCGAACCCGCCACCTTAGGTGTATGTGGCTGGTGCCCTAGCCGGTTGAGCTATAGGCGCCAAGCCTATTTTCTGTTCTTATAGAGCTCCAAATAAATGTTGAAAACATTCATATTTTATTCTCCCAGTTTCATAACTGTTCTTTCATATTTTGTATCCCTTCATTTCTATGTTGTATTTTTGGTAACTTACTTTTCAATATCTATCTTCTAATCTATTTTTTGAAGCTGTGTCTAACCTGCTATTTGCCACATCCTAAGTTTTTAAAATTTTCACAGATGTATTTATTTTTCTTTAAATTCTATTTGGCTCTTTCAAATCTACCTGGGTTTTTCTGGTAGGTTTTTATTCCGTGTCTATTTTTACTTCTCACTTCCTTTTTTGTTATTTTTAAAATCATGAACCACGTCATGCCTAAAGAAAAGAACATAGATAAAACATATGTAGAGTTTAAAGAAAAATGAACACATATGACTGATTACCCATGTTAACAAGTAGAACAGCATCAGTGCCTTAGAAGCACCTCATCTATTTTTCTCCTCTGTTGTATCCTACTTTTATTGCAAGTATACGATATCTTTTCTCTTTTTTTTTTTTTGAGACAGAATCTCACTTTGTTGCCCTCAGTAGAGTACCATGGTGTCACAGCTCACAGCAACCTGAAACTCATGGGCTCAAGTGATTCTCATGCCTCAGCCTCCTGAGTAGTTGGGACTATAGGTGTCTGCCACCACACATGGTTGAGATGGAGACTCACTCTTACCTCAAGCTGGTATCAAACTCTGGAGCTCAAGCAATCCACCCACTTCCACCTTCCAGAAAGCTAGGATTATAGGCATGAGCCACTGCAACCAGCCCCAGCTAAATTTTTTTATTACAAAAACTCATATACTTTTAAAATTTAAATTGTTTCTTATGATATAGGAACACTGCTTTTATACTTTGACCTTATATGTAACAATGTTTTTTACTTTGTTTATTGATTGATAAAAATTATACATATTTATGGTGTGCATCATGATGTTTTAAAATATGTGGCTTGGCACCTGTGGCTCAAGTGGCTAAGGCGCCAGCCACATACACCTAAGGTGGCGAGTTCGAATCCAGCCCAGACCCACCAAACAACAATGGCGGCTGCAACCAAAAAATAGCCGGGCGTTGTGTTGGGCGCCTGTGGTCTCAGCTTCTTGGGAGGCAGAGGCAGGAGACTTGCTTAAGCCCAGGAGTTGGAGGTTGCTGTGAGCTGTGATGCCACAGTACTCTACCCAGGGGGATAGCTTGAGGCTCTGTCTCAAAAAATAAAATAAAATAAAATAAAATATGTATACATTGTAGAATAGCTAAATCAAGGTAAGTAATATCTATTGCCACATACACTTACCATTTATTTATGGTGAGAACAATAAAATCTACTCTTAGCAAATTTCAAGAATACAATAAATTGGTATTAACTATAGCCACCAAATTGTACAATATGAGTATCCTGAGGCCGGGTGCGGTGGCTCACGCCTGTAATCCTAGCACTCTTGGAGGCAGAGGTGGGTGGATTGCTCGAGCGCACAAGTTCGAGACCAGCCTGAGCAAAATCAAGATCTCATCTCTACTAAAAATAGAAATACTGAGACAAGAGGATCGCTTGAGCCAATTTGGAGGTTGCTGTGAGGTATGATGCCACAGCACTCTACCCAAGGCAACAGCTTGAGACTGTCTACAAATAAATAAATATCTTAAACTTATTCCTTGTTGTCTGAAATTTTGTATCCTTTCACTAACATCTCCCCAGTGCTGCACCCCACACAACCTGTCTCCAGACCATTTTATTTTCCCACCAGCAACGTAGGTTTTAGCAATTAAGGTTCCAGTTTCTGGACCTTCCTACCAATACTTGTTACTGATTAACAACACTAAACCTTCCAATTCATAAATATGGAGTATATCTCCATTCATTTTATAACTTTTTTTTTTAGAGACAGAATTTCACTTTGTTGCCTTCAGTACAGTGCTATGGCATCACAGCTCACAGCAACCTCCAGCTCTTGGGCTTAGGTGATCCTCTTGCCTCAGCCTCCCAAGTAGCTGAGACTACAGGCACCCACAACACCCAGCTATTTTTTTTTGGTTGCAATTTGGCCAGGGCCAGGTTCGAACCCGCCACCCTTGGTATATGGTGCCACCCTCATTTATAACTGCCATTATTTCTTTCAGCAGTGTTTTATAGTTTTCATTCTACAAATCTTATACTCCTTTTGCTAAATTTATTCTTATGTATTCTTTTTTTTTTTTTTTTTTTT